TGCTCTCCAACGCTTTGTCTGCCAGACTCCCCACCTTGTGCGTTTGATATGGTCGGCCTGGTGTGTCACGCGCACCATCACCAGCTGCGGTCCCCACCTGTTTGCGCTCTGCAGGCATTCTCAGAGTTGAAGCGGCTCAGGCGCAACGGGCAGCAGTGATGCACGCGGCAGCGGCGCGGCTTGGGAGTGATGATGTAGGCTTGAGTCGACGGGCGCCAAATTGGTGCGCATGCGCGCCTGCCAAGAGCGCACGCAGGTTATCGCAGGAGATGGTTGCAGTGCTGTCAGATTGAGAGAGAGAGAGTTGTAGAGAGGTTTGTGCGTGTGTGTGGCATGCATGTGATTGTGGGTAGAAGCAGATGTCTGCTTTTCCCAGGTGATAGTGTTTCAAATGCCATCCTTTTCTTTTCTTGAGGCACCCCTTGGCACCCCTGCTTTTGTTCCCTGGTTGTTGGGTGGCCGCGCCGCGCGCCAGCGCTCTCAATCATGCCTTTTGATTGAAAGAAAAAAATTTGATTCAGAGTTGCCGGCTTGGCATCCATCAGCGTGCTCCAGGCCGCCTTGTGGAGATTGCAACACGCACCTGCGCGCACCCTCAGGTGCACAGGGGAGCTGGCCTGCGGGCGGGGTCCAGCACATGGCGAATATAGGGTCATTTGTGCAACCCTGAGAGATCGCTCAACCCTCAAAACACTCTAGCACATACTAATGTCCCCAATTTGATGGTGTGGCTTCGCAGGTCTCAACATGTTGCAGCACAACCTGTTGACTCCCCGATGCACAGTCAAACGCTGGTGAAGCACTGAGCACCGGGCAAGCTCTCTTAGGCCCTCTGCACAATCAAGCTGATGATGTATGTTTTTCATACTGTCTACGATCGTATTCAGAGCCTCACAGGAAAGAAGGCATCGGTGTCACTTGCAATGGTTTGCATGCCTGCGCGGAGAACTCGTGATGTGAAATTGAATTCTATGTGATTCACCGATTTATTTTGAAAGCAATGTGCTATGTCACAGCGCTGCGTTCAAAGCACGCCATTTGCCCAGATCATACAGACCTGATTTATGCCTAGCGAATGAACTATGTTTCATCGAGCATGGAACCTCGCCATGCCACCACGCCGGCGCGGCGTGCGCCTGGCCACCGCAGCAGCTGCAGCAGGCGCACGGCAGATGAGCAGCACCACCGGCAGCAGCGGCGACAACCGGGTGCCGCTGAATTTTCCAACAGTCTGCATATGGGGCGCCAACACCGGCGTTGGCAAGACACTCGTTAGCGCCGGGCTGGCGCGTGCGGCTGCGGTCCAGCAGGTGCGAGGTTGCACACGCAGTTTGAGGTCATGGCAATGCTGTGCACTGCAGTTGACCTTGGGCTGCACCTGCCGGCACTGCACTTGTGTGCCGGGGCGGCGTCACAAGTCGCAAATTGGACCTCGAACACGCGCAGAGGGGGGACAGGTGACATTGCAGGGGTGTGTCCCCACGCCCTCTTCCAATCCTGACCCCCTGTGCACCCGTCCTCACCCCGTCCTCATCCCACCCTCATCCCCTCATAATCCCCTGTGTCACCCCAGGCCCCCCTGCACTATGTGAAGCCTGTGCAGACTGGGTACCCCCAGGACTCTGACGCCCGCCTGGTGGTGAGCCTGCATGCAGTGCACACCTGGTGCCCGGTCAAATCCTCTCACTGGCCTCTCTCCGTCTCCCTCCCTGCTTTCCTGCCTTCCTGCCTTCCTCGCTCCCTCCCCCATCCCTCCCATCCTCTCTCTCTGCTTCACTGCCTCACTGCCTCACTGCCTGCTTCCCTACCCCCCACCATCCCTCCCATCGCGTCCACCGTCTTGACACACCCCCACTCACCCACAGTCCAAGGTGCTCGAAACCGTCGCCGGCGTCGCCGCGGCCGCGTCCACCAAGGTGCTCTACACCTTCAAGGAGCCCGCCAGCCCCCACCTCGCAGCCGCCCTCGAGGGCCGCGCCGTGGGCGACGCCGAGGTCGTGACCGCCACGCTGCGGGAGGTCCAAGGGTTCGCGGCGGTCGCGGCCGCCTCGGGGGCGGCTGCGACGCGCCGCGGCTCAGGGGGCGGGGACGGGGCGCTGTGCATCGTCGAGACGGCCGGCGGCGTCGCATCGCCGGCGCCCTCCGGAACGATCATGGTGAGGCGGGGCCATTCCTTCGCCATCGGGCTTCAAACCTTGCACATAATATGCTCTCTGCGCGACTCGTGCACTCCCTCCCAGCAGCTTGCACCTCCTCATCCCGGAGACCGGCGCTCCCTTGCGCACCATGCTGCACCCCCATTCCTCCAGCCCGGCACCGCTCCGCCGCGCCCAGCGCCACATCAGCACCCTACTCCCGCCCTCAAACCTTACATCCCCGAAAGGCCGACGCGCTGCGGCCGCTGCGACTTCCGGCGGTGCTTGTCGGGGATGCATCCCTCGGGGGTATCTCATCCACAATCTCGGCCTACGAGTCGCTGCTGATCCGAGGCTACGAGGTTGCGGCGATCGCCATGGTCCGGGAGCAGCGGAGGGGCAACTTCGACGCCGTCGCGTCGCTGCTCGGCCGCGCGGCGCCGCACCGTGCGGGGCGGCCGCTGCCTGTTGTCGGGCTGCCGCCGTGCGCGGCGCCGCCGGCGGGGGCGGGCGCGGGTGAGTGCGGCGCGCGGTCCGGCAGGCGAGCACTGCAGCTTTGCCGCGATGCGGGGCGGGGCAGCGGCCGTTTTGGCCCGTTGGCCGCGCTCCTGATTAGTGAAGCATTGTTACCCCATGCCCGCGGCACAACTGGACATCACAGAGATCTGACGCAGCAAACGGCGCCCCAACATGCCTGCCCCCCACGACCACAGGCGCCTCTGCCCCCGGCGGCGCGCTCGACGCCTCCCTGGTGGACTGGCTCTCGGCCTCTGGCCCGGCCTTTGAGGAGCTGCTGGCGGTTGTCAGGGAGCACCACGCGCGGCGGCTGGCGTGGCTGGGCGGCGCGGCGGACGGCGCGCGGCGCGCGGTGTGGTGGCCGTTCACGCAGCACGGCAACGTGGGCAGCGGGTGCGCGCGGGCGCGCACGGGCTCGCGGTCAGGGTGTCAGGCGCCCCGCTTGATGGGTTCGGCCTTTTTCTTGCACTCTCGCCCGCGACTTCGCGACTGCACAGGATCCCGCTCTCCTGCATTCGATCGGCCGATCGCCGATTGCATCGGCCCCGCCACCCTGAAGTCATGATTGGCCAACACCCCCTACTCACATCAAAGCACTAGCCAACCCCCTTCACAAAAACATACACACACACACACACACACACAAACCCCCGCCGACCAACTTGCAGGTCGGTTGCGGTTGTTGACGCCCGCGCAGGCGAGAGCTGGCTCGTCTACAACGCCGGCGGTCAACAGCAGCAGCAGCAGCAGCAGCAGCAGCAGCAGCAGCAGGACGACACGCAGCAGCAGCAGCCTCAGCTTCCCAGCAGCTTCCCCTCCCTCGTCCCGATGTACGACGCCGCCTCAAGCTGGTGGACCCAGACCTGCTCCTCTGCCTTCCAATCCGAGGTCGCCCGCGCCGCGGCCGCCGCGGCCGGCCGCTACATGCACGTGCTGTGGCCCGAGGTTGCACACGAGCCGGGACTCGAGCTGGCGCGCCGGCTGGTCGCTGGCCCACTGGGCGCGGGCTGGGCATCGCGGGCGTTCTTCTCTGACGACGGCAGCACCGCGGTGGAGGTGGGGCTCAAGATGGCGTTCAGGCGGTTCCAAACCGCCCACGGGCTGCTGGAGCTGTCGGAGGGGTCGGCGCCGCGGCTGGAGGTGGGCGGGCT